GGGAAAGAGCTGGTTTCTGTGTATGCAAACATACAAACACATGCTGGGCTCTGATGGATGGAGCTGGTGTCAGGGGGCTGCCTGAGCCCCCCCTCCCTGCAGCTGGACCCGAGGGGGGCTCAGCTGGCTCTGCAGACCCCTGCTCTCGGGGGAATTGTTCCTTTCCAGCACTTACACTCCTTGTTGTTGTCATTGCCCAGTTGCCCAACGCCAGGCTGTGACGGCAGCGGACACATAACGGGAAACTATGCCTCTCACCGCAGGTGGGTTGACATTTTTTTCGCTGTTTGGACTCTAAAAATTACTTTTTTTTTTCTTTTAGTATACTTTTTGACCGTGTGGATAGTTTCTGTTTCCTCCCCACCTTCTGTTTCCCCTCTCCCCACCCTGGCCCTTTTTCTTTTTCCTTTTTTCCTTTTTTTTTTTTTTTTTTTTTTTTTTTTTTTTTTTTACTTATCCGGATATTCCATCTCTTCTCTTTCAGCCTTTCTGGTTGTCCTCTTGCTGACAAGAGCCTCAGAAACCTCATGGCTGCCCACTCTGCTGACCTCAAGTATGTTTGCGCTCAACTTGGAACTCCTTTTTTTTTCTTTTTTTCCGCCCTTTTTTCTCTCTTCCTTCTCCCTGCCCCCCTCCCCTCCCTTGCTCTGCTTTTGCTTTTCCATCCCCTCCCTCCTCCTTTCAAAGAGCCGATCCAAATCCGCCTACGAGGAGCTCTGCTGGACTCCAGCCTCCATCCGCTGCGTTGGGAAGAGGCAGCATCCCGGAGCCAGGCTTATTTTGGGGAGGGGGGGGTCACGGCAGTGATCAGAAATAACCTGGACCCCTGGCAGGTTTCCTTCGGGCACTACAGCAATATGTTATTTTCTTTTTCATTTGGCATCTTTTCCCAAGCTCTCGTTCCCTAGTTTGTGCCATAACCTCCTTCATTCAACATTTGTGTGTGGCTCTCAAATAATCCAAAGCCGAGATGAAGGCACACGCTTTATTTTGGGATAGAGACACAGCTGGGAAAATACTGCCGGGACGTAGCGAAGCCAAGTCTTTTGGAGAACCTGGGATGCTAATTTTAGCTAAATTTTAGGGGCCATTCAGGACGCAGGGACAGAGGTTCCCATTCATTTCCTTGGGAGTTTGAGGGAGCAAGAAAACTTTGTTGAATCCAGATCCCAAGCCAGTGTCAAAGGGCTCACGGGCACCTGAATTTCTTTGTTCCCATTTCAGTTCCTGATGGGAGGAACACCATCTTCATGTTATCATTCAAATATCTTCCTCTGAATCCTCTTTTCAGCTTTGCTGCTGTCTTCCCAAAGCTCCTCATTTTCACTAGGAGATAATTTTTTAATAGAGGGTTTCACAAATTTTCTCTCAGGTTGCCTCCCCTACAGAAAAGTTTAACACAAATTGTATTTAAAATAGTTGGAGACACTGGGGGGACCCAAACCCTCCTCCACCCAACCTACATCTTTGGGGAAAAGCTAATTGTGAATTTTTTTTCCAACATCACTTCCACAGAGCCAGCCTGTTTTTTAGAGGCTGATTGTCCTCTGAGCTCCTTGCTCTGCTGGATCCAGTTTCAGGATTATTTAGACACTGAGATATTCATAAGTATAACTGAAGAGCTTCTACTGAGAACAAAACCTCATGGGGGACTTCACATTGCACAGGCTCATCGTAAAAAAAAAATATATATATATGTATGTATATATATATA